CCAAAGAGATTTTTACAGCATCTGATTGATGTCCCTAATCAATCGAAACTTATTACAATTCTTAAGCCGTGAATGAATGGGAAAAGCGAGCGACCGATTTCATTCTCGGTATCATTTTGCATTTGAGAACGGTCAATCAAATTAATATCATTTCCTTTTGTTTGGGAAAGAGAGACACTGGCAGCGGTCCACTCTACCCATGATTATGGGTTTTGGTCAAATGTATGTATATATATATATATCACGACAATCTGTCGTAAAACAGGGGTTCTAGAAAACCCATTTCCCGATACTCCTGAAACCTGAAACTTTTTTTGCAGTCGATTTGATCAACGTCTAGACGCCCTGAAAAATTTCAGATCTCTTACTCAATTTTAACATGGTTTTTAAGGCACCTGAATATGTCGATTTTGGGTTTTTTACCGAATTTCGTATAACAGTGCTGGCGAGTATTTTATGCAAATTTCTTAAAAATCTCAACATAACTATTTTTTATTCCTGTCATCTTTGACATCAAATTAGAATGTTTTGAACTAAAAATAATTCTGCTTAACGACTTCCGATGGGTCTTAATGCCTGGAAAACTCCTGCCGGAGGCGGCGGCCTTCGGCCGCCGCCTCCGGCCGGAGTGCACGCTTCGCGTGCACAAAAGAGGCTTGTAACGTGTACCAAAGGGGGTATAATAGTAAAGGGGGTATAATAGTAAATGGGGAACATAGTATACCCACAATAAATGCAACGGTCGTGCTTGCCAGCACTGTGATAGATTAAGATTAAATCGTATGGTATAATTGGTTCTGGTAATATATCTTATCGTTAGTTCAATTTTTTGTCCATACAGATTGTCAGCCCTTGCTCTTGCTATTGCCCCTTACGCATTTGATGTTCCATATTACTATTAATATTACTATTAGTTGTGGAAATAGTTTGTTAGTTTTAATCTCCCTTATACATATTCTGGTTTAGTTGCATATATAGTTACGCGGTTAATAGTAATACTAATACGGAATTGCAAAAGTAGAAATCGTATTTTTTGTTTCATGATTGCAACTGAATATTGCAAAATAATATTCAAAAAGCTTAAAAGCACCACCTTATCATTAAACTTAAACATCGGAGAAATGAACTGCTAATATATCTTTGCTCATAGTTTGCATCAACAATGAGATTATAGTATCTAAATGTGAAAAATGACATGTACTTATAGAGTAGAGGAGCAGCCCTGCAGAGACCTGCAATGTGTGAGGACCATATTCGAGTTATGCTGTTGTCTAGGATAAAATTTAAGCAATATAGACCATATTATTATGTAATATGTATGCGAGATTTAGCCTGCTTTATTAAAGTTTCTACGCTCTTTTCATATATTCGTTTCAGGTCCTGGACATTTGAAAATCTTTCGAATAGCACAAATATAATTTACGGACACCTATTACTATAACATTGTGTAAAATTGTTATTTTCACGGCATCTCCTGTTCAGTATGCTCCTCAATAAATTTGAATGTCAACTGATATTAATTTATTACTATAGAATGGCCGTTCTGTCGTGATATAACTCTGGTATACGACTCTGCAGCTCCATTAATGTTTAATTTGTTGCTGTTCATAATTAAAAAATTTCCTTCTTCATCATTTTAAACCTTGGATGTAAAATAAAATGTATGGAGCGATTCTGAGGAATATTTATTTGGAATCAAGGTTGTTAAATACGTCAAATTTAACAACCTTGTTTGGAATCATTCATCATGGAGATATTAACCATTCTCCGGAAATTGCAGCACTGATCATAAGTAATGCTCATTGCTCCTCAGTCCTCAGCAATGCTCCAACCTTTTAGAGATCATGGATCGATAACTTATGTAATGACTAATAAGGCATGTGCAAGAGAACAGTTTGCGTGCAGTCCATGACAGCCAAAATTATATATAATACCAGACATAGGTCATAGATATCATTATTCTGTCGCTTTATATTCTTGGGCAGCTGCTCCCAATACGATCTTTGCAGCTTATAATGAACCCAGACACAATATCTTGTCCTGGACATATTTCATTGTGGGGTGAATTATGTGTTATTGTGTGTAATTGTGTGTTGTTGGATGTTGGTAGGGTGGACTGATGAAACTATTGTTTTCTGCTCAGCCAAACATTCTTCTTACACAATGAACATTTGTAACCAGTCGTTTGCTATAGGGCTGTAGATATTTCACTTTTCTTCTGCGTCTGATCATTGTGCTTACATTTGGATAGCCTTTGTTATATATTTTTTACCATGGGAAATTTTGTTTTGCTTTCAGCATCGCGATTGAGATTGTAATTTGATTTGTTCAGAATATTCTTCTGATACTTCGCAAGATCTAATCTGGAAGATTTGTAATTTCGTCGGCGGACTTCCGTTTGTGCAGCATCAAAACGCTAAATCATTCATCTAATTTGGAGCATTGAGTTCACTTTCAGTCACTATTCATCCAAGTCTGAAAAAAGTAAATTTTCACACAATTGAATTCGCAGTAGAATATTTTCGATATTTGTCTACTGCGTTTCATCCGTTATTGAACGTGTTGGTATGGATCCAATGGAAAGATTCAGTGAACCTCCAGAGAAATTGTATTCAATGTCTATAGTATAAACAACCAAACAGTCTCCTCATCTCAAATCCAGTGGCTAGATCTAATAACTCAACTTGAGTCATTAAGTTGCAAGTCTCGAGCTGCTCCATCTAAATTACTGACGCTGACTTTATGTTGGTCTATTCAACCCGGCTAGTATAATATAATTGTATAAGCGCATAAAGACAGATTGACTGAAATCTTGATGCATTGGGCCTTCGTGGCATCAGCTGTTTTTATCAATCGTATTCTTTCGCGGCCCCTCTTTGCAGTTCCCGATTACATGGGTTATAATGACACTCTATAATCTGTCTACAATAATTGGCCAGGTCACCATGTGTTCAGATGGAAAGGCTGCAGAGATCCCCCTCCTAATCTAAGCTAGCATTGGCCAGTGGCCTACAATCCTATTTCTGAGTCAGCGGCGATTTCCACAAATTACTAATTACTTGACTCTTATATGACGATTTCTCCCGATTTGTAAACTATTTATACTATTTATATCATTTACGATCGCCTATAATATATAGGTATATTATATAAATAGGGGTATTTTGATTGTGATACAATTGCAGATTGTAGAGTTCTGGTACTCAATACACTAGCTCAGTGTTTTGTAGATCGGTATAATGGTGGATCAAGGGCGGAACCTGATACTAATGTTCTGTCTCAAAGCAGCAGTAGTCTCATTAAACATCCCAGTTCAATTTCCAGGCCTAGTCAGTGAGTGTACCTGTAGTCTGTACTTACTCTTAATTCAAGTTTTTTCTGTTTTCATGAGGCATTTTTAAATTTTTTAAATTTTATCAATCTGATTGGGCTTTAACAAGGGACGCTAGTGTCGGATAAGAGCTTTCTTTCATTCATTTGCTCATTTAGAAAAGCGTCCGTGTAGTCACTAGTCACTAGTCATATATCGTTTAAAATGGTAGGAAACTGGTCGTTAACAATGACTTTGTTTGAAGTGTGACAGAGCTATTTGTAACTCATTGTTAGCCTAATATTAAAGGCAAGTTTCCATGAAATAAGAAGACGAATGTTTGGCAACTGATAGGAAGCTCACTGGAGCCTACTGTTTAAATGCTCTGATAGATCTGTAGCTGAAATGTTCCCTTCTGATGGATGTGTCAGCAGGTTATTACCATTCAAAGAGATAGATAGTCAGAGAGAAAAAGGCGTTTTGTCGTCCACTAAACTGTGGCTACTAGCTACACTATATTTTCCATGAGGTACACACTAGTAATACGCCTTACGGGAGTTATAATACTATAATACAGCTCGCACTGCATACAACTATAGCAATATGGTTCGTACTTCGTTCTATAGTTTAGTATAGTACGTTGTACCAGTTATCCCAATTTTAAGATCTACAATTGACGAAACTTTATATATTCATGGTTTAAATGGTTATATTTATACGGCCTACCAATCAATTCTTTTATTCGTTTTTCTGTTAATGTTGTTCAACGGAGTTTTTTGGAGCCCTAATCTGGTGCACCCATTTAATTTTACCCATAAAGCTTTGAAGCTTCAATATGAATGCCGCTTAATTTGATATTTTAACAGTACGAAATACATCACAGTGATGGCAAGCACGACCGTCAACCCTTATACCCTCTTTGAGTCTTTATATATATTTGTTTCATTTAGACGCATCAGAATTTGTTCAGGCTTCAGCGGGTTGTTTTTAGTTCAAAATATTATAATTCAATGCTAGAGATGACAGACAATAGGCATAAAAATAGCTGTATCATATATGGAGATTTTTTGGTGTCCTTCAATTCCCATCCTTTCTGAACTGGTCCGTTGTCTCCATGATACGCGGACCAATAGTATCGAGTTGTTAGTAAGATTCATAGCTGGTTTTACTCCGCGTATGTTATGTAATAATAGAGGTCTGACTGTGTTAATATGTTGTAATTAAACTATAAGTTGAACAATAGCAGGTGATAGTTTCTTAGTTGCTTAGTCTCGTCCCCACAAAGGAGTGATCATCTCATTGTCCTAGTTATACTACTGTTAGACTCATTTTACGTTCTGTAGGGCTAACTTACTAGTAAATAAACCATGCGAACATTACTGCTTTAAGTTTAATTTGTCAGCTCTGTTTCACCGTCCTGGTATTTCGTGGTTGTTGCTCTTGCTTAGTCGCAGCCCCGCTCCGGAAATTTGCATGGCCATTTCTTACGTCACTACCTATAAAGGGCCCGGCCCCCTTCTGGATGGCCTTGTTAATCGCTAAAAAATGGACTATAAAATTATCTAATTTCATCATAAATTAATCTTAAACCAAACAATTAGCTGTAAGTAAACGCGATAACAATGTCAAATGTGTTCTTAGTTCAATTTTGGGGACGTGAAAATCAAATATTTCCATTTTGCACAGTTGGATTGGTTATCACCATCAGTAACCAATCAGTACCTACCAATAACCACTAGCCGTCCCACCTAGCCTCATTAGAAGCACCTGTCCTCAAGATGGTAGACCGAGAGCACCTCCACGGCCACGTGTCAGCCATATTCTCCGCCATAGACCGGAACAAGGACGGTAGACTCAGTTTCACTGATCTAAGACTTGGTTTCCACGAGCTTGGTATTAGCATGCCTGATGACGAATTAAAGGACATGATGAACGAGGTAGTGTATTAAGAATTAAAACTTGGGGGGAGGAGGAGAGGGCAGGCGGGGAGAAGCGATGTTTTGTTTGTAAAACTTCAGTTTTACTCAACTATTTTCTGGTTGAGTGTTTTAACTTTATATAATTATAACCTATACAATGCACACATAACGTACACACTGACTAAGTCCACTGTGACAAAACGAAGGAGGCTTAATTAGTGCCTCGTCAATGCTCATGTGTAACTTCCAATGTGGTCTAATGTCCCTCGTCTCCCTCCAGGTGGACCAGGACGGTGACGGAGCTATAAACTTCTCCGAGATGCTCACTATCATGATCAGGATGCACAAACAGAGCAGGGAGTCACAGAACCTACAAAAGGTCTTCGAAGTCATGGATAAAGACGGTTGGTTTAATACTTTTTTATTTCGATTTTTTTAAAGATTATCGCATCGATGTTTTCGATATCAAGTGAAAAAAAAAGATATTTTGCGATGCCAACACATTTTACAGGGCTAATGTGGTAGTAGGTAGTGCGCCATCGACAGTGAGCCGCGCGTGCCGACTGTGGGATGGTTTTTTAGCGCTAATTTCGGCCAGCACAATTTTCTTCAAACAAATAGATATTAAGTATTCTTCCCGACCTCCGATTGCAACAAAAATTGGTAAGCTTACTCATAGACTTACAAGAAATGTGTCCGAAAAGTTTAAAGCATAATGCATATCCAACCATCAAACATTATGTTACAGCTAAAAGCAGCGTATTTTGCCCCATTTTGATCACTATATCAACTCCGATATCCACCAAATTTTTCGGACAGTTGTAAAAGCCCTATTGGAAGGTCGTCACCAATTTTCAGAATGATCTCATTCAAGGAACTGAAGATATATCCAAATAATACGACAAAAATCAAAAATCAACGAATTTGGTCAAATTTGGTCAAATTACGCGACTTTTACAGCTAATTTTGCTCCAAAAGCCGCGCACCATCAAATATATTTTTGGAAAGATCAGTGAGTTTTGCCTAGGTGCCATATATGGCACCTAGGCAAAACTCACTGATCTTTCCAAAAAGGTAAAACAAATTTGGTATTGTGAAAATTCTCACAGTCTCTAGAAAACAATGGTACAAAAATTTTTAAAATCCGAGCAAGTTTATTTTTATGGTGCACCTCCTAGTGGTAGTGATGTCATTGTAACATATTACAGGTAACAAGAGAATAAGCAAGACTGAGCTGAAGAAAGCGTTAAAGCTCTACGGAAACAAAAAAGTATCAGCCTCTGAACTGGACAAAATTATGATTGAGGTATAGTTAAAGCAATTTGGGCACCGTAACCTATTGGAATCAAGTATTTCACTCTTAATTCCTTTGTTTGTAGCCCTAACTGATATTCAAATTGTAACTTGGTCGTTACATATTTTGTATTTTTGAAATAAACATAGCCAGCTATTGCTCAGGCCATCTGATTGCAGTATATTCCTATTTATTTCAGTATATTCCTTATCTTTATTTCAGGTTGATTTTGACAACGACGGATACATCAGCTTCGTAGAGTTTGCCAATTGTGTTCATCTCTTCAAATAGAAAAAGTGCGCGCTCGCGTGAACTAATGCTTAATCTTCACAGTTGATATTGATAAACCGCTGCTTTTATTATTTAACCGTTGTTATATCTGGGAATTTACACTCATTAATTCTAACTCATTCATCATTTATTTTACTTCGTTGCAATTAGTGTGGTGTACTATTTTTTCGAAGATCTTAATCCTTTTTCAAAATTTAAGTTCTTTTAACAGTGTTATCGATGTTTAACGTCGATTTACTACAGCACAACTAAGATTTTAGGGATACTTTTAGTTTTATATCGACTGTTTCAGCTACTCCATATAATGCATTAGCAAGGTTACAACCATTAAAATCATATCTTGAGAGCTACCCATTCGCCTTTTTCCTCACATTTAACAAATGTTTACTGAACACATGTATCTTCTAAGTGATGAAATGTTTTAATGACACTAACTTTGTAGTTGTCTTCAGTGACATATATATTATAACGTAATTTGAGACGGAGAGCAGAGAATTTTTGAAGCCGTTTAGATTATTTAATTTCAAATTACGTGTAAAGAAAACGTCACAATTAAATTTGATAATAAATTAACGTTATAGGACGTTTAACAAAATTTAACTGTTTGTGTGTACTTTATGATTGAACCAATTTGAAGCGTATTTAAACAAAAAAAGCGTTTTTGTTGCTTTATCGGTATTTCCACCATGGTAATACGCGAGATAACACTTGTTAATGTGAGTAATGTGATTTAGTTATGTAAATAGAATAATTATGGTGAGTTGACGATTCCCTAAATTTTAACTAAAATGTAACCATTGTCATATCGTGTTACACAAAATAAGCTAATATTGTTAATAAATCACGTCTAGGGTTGAGATATGGTCATTCAAATTGTCTACAGTGAATGTCACGTCCATATTATGAATGTCACGCATTTGACGGAACGTAAAAGGTGGCAATGTTGCATATTGTGACATTGTTGGAATGATATTATCACAAATGGTCTTGCCTGTAGGATATTGATAGTTGTAATATCTTTAAGTCCGTAAGTGTTTTGCAATCTCATTATTGACCCATACCACGTACGTGGTAAATGGTAATAACTGTAACAATAGTCAAATTTTATTATAACAAAGTGTCACAGATGTGACATTTGATTATGAAACTTCGCTTTTTGACGATATATCAACCCTACGAGCAAGTTTATTACAATATCAACTCATTTAGTTATCACAATATGACACTTGGTTACTAAAATGACAATTCATCACCCATAACTTCATTAAGTAAGTCACACTTGATACTATATCATATATGTGGATACCCCCTCTAACCATACCTAAAAGTTAAGGGCTAGAAGTAACTTTGTGACAATGTTGGTCGATTAAGGGTATTAAATATTAAGGTATAGCCCGAATTGTGGTAGTCGTATAAGTACGAATACTGGTTACAATTCGGGGAATCATCTATTTACTACTATGGAGTATCGTGTTTAGTCGATAATCATTAATCACATACACGTTAATTATTCCACTGTGCTGCTTGTTTCTTAGAACATGAAGCAAATGTTTGCTTATTGCTATGCGGTGCCATTGATCATGCCGGTGGACTACGAACCCCCTCTGGCCAGTTTCAAGCTTAAACAGTGAGCTCGAATTATTTGTTATAATTTAGATAGTAGTGTTGAAAGTATTTGTAACCACTAGTAAGCTCTACATATTCAACGGTTCATTGCGTACAAATTTTGGCATGAAATCAGGAATTTGTTCGACATTCGAAGTGTACCTTCCGTTCTACACGCTTAAATTTGCTTATTTGTTTACATCGCACTGGAACGCGCATTTCTTGCTGTGCGCTGCTGAGTTTTCTGTAACAATAATTGAGCTTCGCGCGTTCCGTCCAAAAGACGTGTATGTGGTTCTATAATTAGCACATACGGAAAGTTCTAGATGTTTTACTTTACACTGAATTAGTCTAAAACACAAAAACTCCTCGTTATAAGGTCTAAATGAAAATAGTAACAAATTAAGTTTGGAAACAAAATTAGTCTATGAGAAGTTTAAAACTTATAAAAACTATTTAAAATACCATCATCATGGGTTGATACCTTCCATCATTAAAGCAAACGTAAAAATCTTTAAAAGTTGCTGAATGATAGCCAGCAGATAAGGTTTGGAGAAGATAAAAATGAGATCATAAATGAGTTAAAAATATTTTACTGAGGTATTCCCTTATAAAATCGGTATATCAGGAACCACCCTCTGATAAAATATCTTCCAAGGGAAAGTCTTTTGAAGATCTTAAATATCGTCTGTAAAGCAATTAAATACAATGAATTGAGAAACTGACAAAATAAACACTTAAATCATATCAAGATAAACTTTTAAGGATATTAGTTTTGAAGATACATTCACAGTCTTTTATTATATACAAGTAGACGGATGAATCGCTGTATTTACAAATTCATAATAACGAATTAAACAACAAAAAACATTTTATTACGAATGCAACACAGCATTTTAATAAATCATAACCCTTCATATGTTTTAACACAAAATTAACAAAATACAACTAAAATCTTCTTCTGTTAAGATTCATCGTAAAGTTATAAACCTCTACAAACTTACCATAAAAATTATAATATGGATTTCTCAACGAATAATTTGCCAGCTGTTTCCGCTGGGGGTCAACAGGCTGTTGAAAAATCAAGAGCCAAAAAATCTCTCAAGATAACAGAAAGAATAAATTAGCTTAACATCTCACGCAATATTTTAACATGTTGAAATTTGTTCTACCATGCACTTTTTCTGGCGGGATGGGATGCAAATAATAATTATAATTTACTGCACAACTCACAAAATAGTAAAAGATCCACTGGGTTTTAATCACTGTAAAACGATTGGTCTGGTTCCTGCTTGATTTTGATGGAGAAAGTTTGATGGTGGTGTGCCGTGATCTCATTGTATTCTGAAGGAGCGACCCACTCTTTATCGCTGATGCCGTGCTTACGCAGACAATTCTCCAGTTGGCTGATGCGCGCGGTCATGGCCTCGCGTTCCCGCTGCCATTGCAACTGTTCACCCTGCAGTGACTGTATGTAATCGACCGAGGACTTGAGGATGGTTCCTTTATTAGGCCTCATTTCCGGATCCTGTTTGGGTAGGAGTGTCCCTAACTCCTTTATCCTATCATTGATGTTAAACCTCCGCCTCCTCTCGATCGCATTGTGATTGTCCTTCTTTTGGCGGTCCTTAGTGTACTGTTTCATATCGAGCTGACCACCGTAGTTCTCTGGTTTCTGAAGGCCCAGGTGGGCCGGACACGACATGACAGCTGAAGTCTGACCGGGCATGACATTGAAGTTGGAGGTGCTGGGAGAGTGGGGGAAGTAGTTGAACATGGAGCCGGGGGGAGGGTGAGTGGGCACTGTCTGGCTAAATGTGTAGGAGGACGGCAGGGAGTTTATCGGTATCTCAATATTCATCTGCTGATCCTCGTTATCATGGGAGGATATAGTCTCAAGGATGGAGTCTATCTCAAAGTTACCAAAGTTCATGTTCAGATCGTCGGGAGAGAGTGGGGTGTCTGGTGTCATCGACTTGGGGGAGAGTCCTGAGGAAAGGGGGTTAGGAGGATATATATATCCTCCTTTATTATATATAATAAATATATAATAAAGGGTAGGAACTGTGATCATATCTCTATAGTTATCATATCTACTGATATCATAGCGTGATCTGGATATGTGGAGGCGAAATAACCACTGTAATCTGTTTCTGAGTAGAGTTATTTAATACGAGGATTCAGTAGATCTTACCACGGCAAGTTAAATGACCCTTACTATCTTTAAAACGCTACGAAAAATTGTATCATTACCGAGATTTGCGTAGTAAAAAGCCTGCTGACGCACTTGGGAAAGCAAGTCATCAGAAATTTATTTATCACAACTCAATACGAAATCGAAATATATCAACAATTCAATGACTTTATAATATGATGCAATTATAATACAAAATTTCGATGATTTTGTCACCAAAGTACCAACGTCCATCATGAAGTACAAGCTGTGTGTATTTCAGGGGCCGCATGAAATTGAGTGACCAATAAGTGACCATAATGTATGTTATTATTCAGCCATGTACTCTACTCAGCACTCTACAGTCTACACTGTAACAGTGTTACGAGCCTATAAATAGATACAATTTGTAACCTTGAGGACTGATTATGACCTATGTATGCAATTTCAACAGTTGGGATACCAAACTCAATATACCTCAATAACAGTAATCAGATTCAATATTTTGATATTCATGTAATTTTTCCATTTCCAAGAATTGAAACTATTCGAGGAATTTTTTTGATTTTTTACATCTTTAACTGCAGTACGGGATATACAATAATATGTAGTATACAAAGTTCTAATAGCCAACCAGAGTCGTGCAATCAAAATGAGGCTTCTTCAGAAATTGCTCTCGAATGCTCGTCATTTTGGTGAGGTGAGAGAATTATGTTTAGTTTAAAACGTTTAAATTAAGGTTATTGAGTTTGGCCTCTCAATCGTCAAGAATGGAATAATTTCATGATCAATGTGAAAAGGCGCTGAAAATTGTCAGTTTAGACGCTCCTTTAAATGCAATTTCTTCATTATTATTCTATTTCGATCATTCCAACAATCACGTTTCACATGGCTATTAAATATTAGCTAAGTAACCGTACAATAGCAGTAAGCTGCATGATCTTACAAATCCTACTATCTGCGGTTTCCAACCCTCAAACTCAGAGAAACCTCTTATCTATACTATGACTTCAAAGTGCGTCACTAAATTAGTAATATTCTGTGAGATAATCTACGCAATAAAGCCGCCTGAGATCAAACTTTAAAATAACTATGATTACTCCAAGTACAGATTAAAATTAGTTATCAAAACCAGGAACAAGGATGAACAAAACTGTAAACGTCACCAGTGCCTCCCATCACCAGGATATCCAGTTACCAAACACACAGAACTAATACAACATTTAGAATTTATCTCCAGAAATTTAGGATGGAGGGGTCTATATTAACCTTATCTTTAAACCATTGTATTGATAAGAGGTATGCAAGCGTCATAATTCACAGATAAAACTTAATCTTGGTACTTTTACGTCATTCAGTTAACATTCTTAAGAAAAAGTCCTGAAATTGCGAACATGTTTATAACTCCGCAAGCAGTTGGAATAAGAAGCAGATTCTGCAGCGGCGGTATAGACTGTATCAAATCCCCCCTTCTCTGTCACTGTGGAGACCAATGTTGGAAGGAAATTCTTCAATCTGTTGGAGAAACACTTCCCTCAGGACAATCCACTACACAAGATCTTGAACCGGAACAGTGTAAAAGTCTCATACAGCTGTATGAAAAACATGGAATGCCTCATAAAATCCCGGAACAAGCAGTTGCTTCGTCAGCACCAGGAAACCCAGGAACCCACCACACGGCAGTGCAACTGCCGCTCCAGGAACTCCTGCCCACTAGACGGAAAGTGCCTATCGAAGTCTGTGGTATACATGGCGACCCTCCGTACGGAAAATGAGAAGCACCACTACATCGGAATGACGGAGGGCACATTCAAGGACCGGTACAACGGGCACACGTCATCATTTCGCCTGGAGCGGTACCGAAATAGAACCAAACTGTCGGAGAAGATCTGGTCCTTCAAAGACCGTGGGTTAGAATTCAGGATCGAATGGAAAATAATCAGACGTGGACACGGATACAGAGCCGGCCAGAACAGCTGCGATCTGTGCACGTCTGAGAAATTAGAAATCTTACTTCGATCCTCTGACCCACACTTACTTAACTCCAGGACGGAAATCCTCACAAAATGCCGCCATAAACGGAAATTCCTTTTATAATCTAATGACTCATACATCTAACCCCTAGTATTGTTTCACGAGTGATTGTTTATGTTAAATTTTAGCTTTGTAATTTTGATTTTAGTTCCTATACCTCAGTTGTCACTGATGATATCATGGTTTTGTATCATGATTGAAACATTTGTCTGACTCAACCGGTCGTTTCATTTTGTAGACTGTATCAATATCATGTTACAAACTACATGTAAAGATACACTGAAAAAGGGCAGAAACACGCTAGTATTTGGCACAAAGGGTACACAAAGACCTCACTTTTATTTGCTAATTTTTAACAACCCAACTTCCTCGCGTCTTCTCCGTAGACACCGGTGACTAGACAGTGGAAACCCAGTTAAGTTTGTTAGCCGTGAAGCATGGTATTAGCCTATAGACACACTCTCTTTGTTGTGATGTGATGTATAGTTAGATGACAAAAGATAGTCGGTTTATCTCTGTAATCGATTAGCAATATAAGTTTATAATAGCTGCCAAGACAAGACAATACTCTCAACTGGATGCCTAAAAACGTCATTGTCTTTAAAGACAAACCTATCTTGAATGTGCTATTTAGGGACAAACTTATGTTAGATGCGTTATTAAGGGACAAACTTATGTTGGATGTGTTATTTTCTCATAAGCTGGAGATTACTATTCTCCGATGATAATTGTACATTTCTCTATATCAGAGCTTTTCATTAAGAAGTGAAATAAATTGTTCATATTTTCTTCAGTATAAAGTATCCTCGTTTATTAGTCGCATTAAACTCGCATTATTGTAATGATTCTGATGCAAAATTTATAACAATTCCGTTTGTTGCGACAAGAAAAAATGCTCTTTTTCAGGAAAAGGAAATAGTAAACGGAATCACTAGAAATGTTGGGCAAATGTTGCATCATTATTAATCAAGTATTTAATAAAATAAAGAAGATGAGACTCACTACTGGGAGACAGCATGGAGCTGGAAGATTGAGCCTGAGGGTTAGCAGGAGTTAGCTGGCTGGACATGTACTGTTGTATTTGCCTCCTCTGATTCTCCTTCAGGTGATAAGGGGTCGGGTTATCTAAAGCTGACTCCACCTGCAGAGAGAGAGTAGAGTTAGTTAACTTTCACAGACAAATATTGGGGTCAGTCGAGTTTCTGGAAATTGTTTTGTTTTACTGAAAGCGTGTTGTAGGAAAGTGAAGTGAATGTTGCAAAGGCTAGATTGTAATGAGTGGACCTGACTTTTTGTCTTAGAAATGGGATATGAGAGGTATGGAAATTTGAGAATATCAATCGAATTTGGTCTGGTTGTTTTCTACTATCTACCTGAATTATAAATTTCATCTACAAAGGTTCTCCAGAATTCTCTTGAATTTATGATATTGTGATCTAATATTTTCGTAATACAGTAAGACCGGTTATTATCATTACTAAAATGAACCATTGTGCGCTATCAATACCATGCCGTAACTTGAACCCTCAAAACGGAAACAAAAGTTAGAGATTTCGTCCTGTCCTTGCTTTGCCCTGTCCTTATTGGCTTATTTCATAGCCATTAACCATCAGATACTTAGAAACTTATGGTCTGCTGTAACGCGCGCTTATGCAAAATGAACTCTACTATTCTTTATTGACTTAAATATCTCTGGCGAAGAGGATTTCATTCTTCAAATTTATATTTATCTAAATTTATAACGTTTATAAAGTTTAAAAGCGATCTCCCATCAGTCAAAAATATTCGTATGTAATAAAATACGCAGACAACATGTCTACAATAACAAGCAGCTGTGAAAACCTTGAGTTGTTGTATTATTATGTGTTATAAATGAGTCAGATTGTAAGGAGTAGTAGTATAATGCCAGCAGTGTGACGTAGTGTGAAGGATGGGTAAACTAATTAACTAATTAACAGCGGCAACATTGTAATTAGCTGTTGAAATATGTAGGTGCTAATAACTTCATTAAACGTTCAGAAAATGAATCAATTATGTCTATATAAGTAAAATAACCTTATAATAAAAATTAGAGTTAAGTCATAGTAATGATTGCAGATTTAGCACGTTAATAAAAACAAGGTGGTCGTCTGCTGTCTTCACGTTTGAGACATGCTGGGGTCGTATCACGCAAGTGTAGGAGGTTTATCATGTATGACTACCCTCGCATTACAACTAAAAGCTTGACATCCGGAAGATTAAGATGGAGAGTGTTGAAACTTGGAAATGATCCAACAAAACGATATCCGGTGATGGACAATGCCAAAAACCACTACACTTACATTGTCATTAACCACGTCCACATCGAGTAGAGAAGATGGTGTCCGACCACTTTTGAACGCTTGGATTACCTCGTCTGATTCATCAACAAGTAAAAACCTTCGCTTCATAACAATGCAGATATAATACAGTTAACAAGATCTACTACTATTACACAGACTGCAAAGTAAAGTAAAAGTAGAGGAGAAACAGCGAGAAGAAGAAGAAGAGAGCTGAAGTGAAGTCAGAACAAGCTCCAGACAGTCAAAGCAGTGGCAGGCTAAATCAGCTGACATGTCCAGCTGTCCGTCGTCTTGATCTGTGCAACTTTCCAACAGCTTCAACGTTTAAAACTGCCAAACAATAGCCAGCATATCATAGCTTGTAGTTTAACAGTACTGTGCATGAACGGCGGAGAAATGCAAAGAATGTGGGTTTAAAAGAGTATTATGCATCTTGTATTGAGATGGTAATATCTATAATATCTATATCTTATATAATATATATATCGCTGTGGTTCATTATTTATGCTTTTTCGGTCGGAGTCGTGAATAGTGTTCGAGTTTTAATGTGTTCCATTTGAGTGGAATTTAAATTCAAGAATTTGAGAGTTAGCGGTTATCTTGAGAGTTTGTGGTTATCATATATAATGCGGCTTTTAATTCCCGCTAAAGATTCAACAAATTAAACAGTTAGATTAAACAAAAGATTTTACGAAGAATTCAAGCCTCATATTGTGTGTTTCCCTTGGTGTCAAAATATGCAACATAAATTAAACAGTTAATGTTACACACTATGGTGGGAACTCTCAGTCTCTGTCAAACTATGCAGTGTCAGAGCTGTAAACACTAAGAATAAGACTAATCGATATAATTGGAAGTTAAATATTTCTTATTTTCAGATCATAGTCTATGGTTCGAACAACTAACTCACGAGTAAAGCGCTATTTCAGAAGAAATTCTGGACAAAAAATTCTGGACAAAAAATCAAATGTAAGAGTCGAAAGCGAAAGTAACGGGCTACTCACTGGTCATTATGCATGGAATTTAACATTACATCATGCATTAGATAATATTAAGGTGTAAATTGAATTAAGCCTATATTTGAATTAAGCATAATTAGCTCGACGCAACAAGAGTATCTTATCTCTTTATCTAAAACATTGAAACTGTTGCTACGTTGCAAAGAGCTACAAACAGAATGATGTTGAAATCTTGTAAAAAACAGAAGATCCGCAGAACTTACGAATTAATCTCCACTCCCTTACCCTATATTGGCAAGAGGAATGAAAGTTTCCGCTATCTAACTAATAATCCCAGAATGTGTGTTATCTGTCTGTCTGTCTGTCTGTTTGTAATTTCCGAGCGGCTTAATCAAGAAAACGGTAAGAGTTGCGGGACTGATTTTTTCGGTAAAGTGCCGACAAAACTCTGACAAAGTTAAATGATAAAGGTTTTTTAAATCGGTCGTTGCTAAGTGGTTTAATTGATGGTTTTGTACCACAAATGTTACATAAAATGGCTTGAGCAGAACGGTAAGAGTTACGGGGCTCGCATATGTAGCTGCATAATTAGTGTAATTGAGTTACCCGGGTAAGATTATAGACTATAATCTCTTTAGGGGAGGGGGCACTGTTTGGACTGCAGAGAGAGTTCATACTTTCATACGACAATGTTATGCGTGTTCACAAATATGATAGGCGGGTGTGGTGTTAAGGGTTAATTTCTATTGATTATTGTTTAAGATACTATTACTATTGCTTAAGATACCATTGGATACGTGAGGGCACTCCGAATAGAATTGCTCACCTAATTCGGGTTTTGACTCAACGGGTAAATGCTCCTATTCTTTTTAACTGCAGCAGTGAAATCCCGGCCGAAGGCCGGGTGACACTAGTATTACAAATAATATGGCCCACCTTGAGAGCTGTTTTCAGAAGTTGTTTTAAGAAACTTAAATCTTTATTTTTTATTAAAATAATGGAGAAAGCTTGCGTAGGTTTTATTCACAAAGCGTGCAGAAGCTGGGTAGTGGGTAACTTGTAGTATACATGATATTATTATACACATAGTATTATAATACATAATATAATAGTTCTATAAAGTAAGATTGGATAACACGTACGGGATAATATTAAGGATATAATGCTAATATTCAATATTGTTGCATATTACTTATTAGTATTAATTACTATTGATTTGTACCAGGATACTAAATTATTACACGGTAGAGTGGGTCTCACGAGGGTGTGGCATGTCAAGGCACGCCAATAATACATGTAATACGGGGAAAAACCCCACTGTAATGTGACGTTATCTACACTTTTTGTGCAGACTGCAGGCTCACAATCACATTAAACAAACTGTGTAAAATAAATGTAAAACTACCGGCCATTTATTTAACTCTAACCGAGAAATAATAGCAAGAATATAGGTTCTACAGAACAGTAAATCTACCACCAAAACTTGGTGATCAAATTACGATTTGATTAAAAAGGTGGGTGTAACCGGGGTTTCAGTTAATTAACATGGGTTGTCAGCTGGTGACTAGCTGGAATGTCAAGTAGCCTGGCAAATACCCCTACATTAACATAACGTCGTCAAAATAACACGGTAAAATGTGATGAACAGGTGATATTGAGCAAGTTTTTGGGTAAAAATCCAAATCTAACCAGTTCCATAATCTTACCAAAGAGCCCTTAAAAACGTTTGACAATGAGTTATCCGATCAGATAGAGGTTATTATTTTTGAAAAGCTAGATTTTATAAAATGTTTAACCTTAGAAGATAGAAGTAGGGTTGCTAAAGAAAGATTAACGATAACCAGTTCCATAATCTTACCAAAGAGCCCTTAAAAACGTTTGACAATGAGTTATCCGATCAGATAGAGGTTATTATTTTTGAAAAGCTAGATTTTATAAAATGTTTAACCTTAGAAGATAGAAGTAGGGTTGCTAAAGAAAGATTAACGATAACCAGTTCCATAATCTTACCAAAGAGCCCTTAAAAACGTTTGACAATGAGTTATCCGATCAGATAGAGGTTATTATTTTTGAAAAGCTAGATTTTATAAAATGTTTAACCTTAGAAGATAGAAGTAGGGTTGCTAAAGAAAGATTAACGATAACCAGTTCCATAATCTTACCAAAGAGCCCTTAAAAACGTTTGACAATGAGTTATCCGATCAGATAGAGGTTATTATTTTTGAAAAGCTAGATTTTATAAAATGTTTAACCTTAGAAGATAGAAGTAGGGTTGCTAAAGAAAGAGAATCATTTTGGCAAAACCAGCTTATGACCCTCAGTGACTTTGGAGGACTTAATAAACGTAGTGCTCTTAATGAAATAAAAAATTGACCTTTATATGATATGTTTTAATATTAATCTTTCCACAGACACTTGCATTTTGATGTTTACTTTCACCTCTGCATCTTTTGTTTATATCTTATGATTGAATGAGACTTACTCACAAATTTCCCATCTCAGTATTGATCTATTTTTGTCATGCTTTTAATTTACTTCATAGAACAGTTATTTTAATAAACTTGCTTTCAGAATGAGACATGTAAAGATTACACAATCGATAGCTTAATGTGAATTTCGTGTTTTACTGTTTCACTGAATGTCTCAAATATATATATATATACGTGACTAAAATCTACTGTATTTCCGAACATTTGAAATTAAACCCTCCATTACCCCCTCTATTCACTCATCACAACAATTTGTTGAGACGAGATATAAAACAAAAGTGTCTGTGTTAGTTTCCTGTAAATATCACGTGAGCAACTACTGAACTACCGTCCGTCTACCAGACAACCTCATTACCTTCACAACAGTGTTGTAGTGTTATTATGTCTCAAACAATGCAAATACCCGGATATTAATACTGCTGGCAGAGTGCCATTATTAGTACTACAGTGTAGGTTAGCGTAACTGCTGCGTGTCTGACTGAGTGCCATTATTAGTACTACAGTGTAGGTTAGCGTAACTGCTGCGTGTCTGACTGAGTGCCATTATTAGTATTAAAGTGTAGGTTAGCGTAACTGCTGTGTGTCTGGGGAGTAACAGCCAATATTATAAGCATACTGTATTTACTCGTATCACATATGTCATATATGTTATCCTGACGATATCATAACAAATACAGAACCATCTGGTGATTTCCAGACCCTTGTTTTCATTTCTTTAGAATTAGTGGTATTATTCGAGAAGTAAACATTTCATGATGGGGGAGTGACCATTGAATATTAGAGGGGTAACCATGCTGCTAATTCTTTAATACACCAATATTACTGAGGTTATGTGCGAGGTGTAACAGTGATGTGAAATTAACTGTACAACTGTGAAAAGTGGTGTACAATTTATCATAAAATAAAATGGTCAACTTGTGGGGCCATACTTTCAACTTTGCAAGTGCAAATTCGCACATCTCTGTGTTTTGATATTCCATATAATAGGTCATGTACAAGATATTTACACCCCTTTCGAGATGATTCTTCCTGTAACTTACATTCATTATAAGTAATCTTGTAACTGTACGAGCTTTTAAACGATTACAAATTCTTTAACACTTAGAGATTGGATAATTGTTAACTTCTAAAAATCAGGCGCCAACATGGGACTGCTATTTTGACTGCAGCTAAATATTATTATGGTATAATTCTGTAGTAGCTTGTAGAATATCGAATAACACATTTTAACACTGACATTAGAATTTAGAATTGGAGCTGCAGAATATGAAAATGTAACAAGTTTTAACATATAACAAATAAATTAATGTTAAAAAAGCAGGCCTACACTTAACAACAACATGTAGTTGTACGGTAGTTGATCTCAAGTCGAGACTGAAAGAATTTCAGAAATTCCATGCCAACTATTCAGTCTTCCTGGTAAACATAGCGGTGACATCACCATTACATTCCAGCACGTACCAGCTAGTGTGATACATGGTACAGTGTGTTGACCACTGTTACTACAGCGTGTACCAGCTAGAGGGTTACATGGTACAGTGTGTTGACCACTGTTACTACGGCGTGTACCAGCTAGTGGGTTACATGGTACAGTGTGTTGACCACTGTTACTACGGCGTGTAGAATAATAATGCTATAACTGTACATTATTCATTATTACGTTACTGAATGAAGCTACGTACATAAGATTAACAATATATCCTAAACATCTCACCTTCTCATAACATCAGGAGATAATGTAGAATTTAAAAAGCCCCAGAAACAATAATATAATGATAATAATCCGGTAGTGTTAGTTCCGGTCCACATATTCTTGGCAGGATTCTTGGCTAGGTTCCAAGCATCTCTCGTGTGAGGAATGGTTATGCATACTGGCAGGATTCCTGGTCCGCTTCCGAGAGTGCATCATCAGAGTATAGCTTGACAACTCACATAGTATATAAGGTGACAAGGTGAGTAACACCACACTGGCCCTGTACAGTGTACACACGTGCTGTTGGACCTGCCAATATTTATAATTTGCACGTGTAAAAGTTAATGAAACAACAGAGCTGAGAAATAATGAAGAGAATAAAGGCAATAAGCGGAACAGTGTACATAGTCCAATTAACAGTTTAGAGTAACTATGAGTATGCAATTAGTAGAACTCGTTATTGGCAAGGAGCCAGCACTGAGAGTTACAAATTAAAATACATGCTCGTATTATATCCGGGCTTTTAAAGTTATGCAGCTTGTGAATATTTGTACAAACTTTCAGCTGCTCATATTGGATAAACACCTTCAACAGCGGGTAAGGTACTAAAACTGGCAAGTGTACACTTTAGAGCGGGAGCGAATAACACGTACATACCATCATTCCGAACATCTTCAGCTCATTAAATGGGAGACTAAATATTGTGCCAAATCTGTTTATAACGCGATTCCAATTTCTTTTGTCTTACATTCAATGTATGTGATACAACTTACAACAGCTATACTACGTAATTGGTAAGTTTAATGAACTAATGATAACCTACGATCGTTTTGTTTTAACTCACGTACTAACTTGATAAACACCGTGATAAAACAATGAATATGTTAAATAATAATTATGTGAAATAATGAACACATGTGAAATAATGAATAATATGTAATATTATAAATAATAAATGTAATATGTGTAAAATTCATATCTTCTGCAGGCCATCCAAACATAAGGTGAGGTCATAAATAAGGTAATCTTCAGAGTCTGTTGTAACGACCTCTGCGGTGGCAGTATTTTTACTTGCAGACAGACATTTGCGTCAAATGAAATAGAAATAGAAACTTTGAGATTGAATTGAAATTGTTTAATACCGTTTAACTCATTAATGAAATAAAATGATAAATTAAATAAATATTACTCCTACATAATAATATGAGGGTAGTCGAGGCAGTACTCACCATAACGTAGTCAGCACCAAAAGAGCTCATGATTAGGTTTCGTACTAAAAAGTGGCAAAAATGTGAGCAAATATGTGTTCGACGAAGCAAGGCGGTTGGGACGGAAGCTAAAGTGTTGCTAGCCTAATCTACAAAGGATAGATAAGGTAGGAGTGGTAAATATGTTTGATGTAAACTGGTGTATAGGATGACAGTGTCATGTTACCAGTCCCGCTGCTCCAACCACAAGCTATTGATTGCACTTGCTTTTCATTCTCGCACAATACTCACTGTAGGCTAGTAAAGTTATGGGGAGATCATGGGATTAGGCTGATGATGACAACAATTTGGAATATTAAGTAATGAAGTGGGTAGCAGTGATCTAATGTAGAATAAATACCAGTTCTGCTGTTATGTAATATTGTGATGATTTAATGAGATATGGACAGCTGGACAAATATTGGAAACATGCATGTTATATATATAAGTTCCAAATACATACAACTATTTAACTCGGACAGACATCCTTCTGCCTTCATTTTAAAGTAATTAAAGCCGGAATTTCACTTCTAACATTAATTTCATTTCACTTCCAGGTTCTAGCAAAATCAAATAGCGCCCTTAGTTCAGCCAGTTACCATTAAATACCCAATCACGAAAAGCAATAGTTGAATATATTCTATCTTTTTACATAATATAATATACATACTAGTACTATCACGGTAGTGGTCACGTCATATTTAGCAATTTTTACAGAGTTTTACCTTGGCTGCAGTCTGTTATTTTACCGTGACATTTCAGGAAACAGTACAATTGTTTTTGATGTTAAGTTATTCATGTTAAATAGGTTCCAAGAGAGGTTCAGAGAAAGTTAAATAAATTGCAATAGTATAATCAATAATGTATTGTAAAGTATATTATAGGATACCCCGTAACTGCAGAATGAACTGCAGCAAGCATGCTGGGTTAAGTTCTTTATTGAAAAACTGAAACATCGTCGTGATGAGAGGATTGGGCGAAATAAAGTCCCACTCACCTTAATATTCTATCTGTGTATAATTGTTTTGCTCCTGCCAAATAATGAGAGCAGCAAGATTGTATATTATCTTGTGGCCACTTAAATGTTTCTTATTCAAATAGGATGATATTCAGGGAAAGATTGATTGAGTGTGTGGGGCTGTTTGTTAATACACTATACAGTATTCAACCCTCATAATATTGAAAATAAAACTATTGCAGCATATTCAAACCCAAGATACAATTCCCTTTTACTTTAATATTTTAACAGCAACTGCCTGATCAAATGGTTTCAACACATATAATAAAGGTACACTTTTTACTTGATTGCAAAATAGGGAAATATTTTTAAAAGTTCAAAATCAGTCAGTGAGTGTGATCAATTATTACTGTGAATGAAAAGGCCAACAAAGTTACAAAGTATCATAAACTTTTGGTGCTTTCTCAGGTAAGTTTTCGCAAGTGTACAGACTGTACACTTACATCATCAATTGGGAATTGGGTAAGTTTACAAGATTCTTATATTGCAGCAGCAAAATGAACTTGAAAAAAGTACAATGAGCTGCATGGCAATTAGCAAACACAAGTGAATCTAAAATATAGGAAGGATGGAGGTACCTCGTTGGTGCTGGATAGCAAGGGGTCATCATTTAAGAACTGCTCATCTCCGTAGTTAGGTGGAGTGTGGTAGAAGGTAGAAGGGTATCGTCTGTCACTCTCTGCAACTGAATTGCAAATATTTTAATCACCCAAAACCAAAAGGCTGTATCACATACTCACGAAAATATTTTAAAAATATTATGCAATATATATGAGTGCAAAACATAACTACAATCTATCTATTTACTGGGATCCTTCATTCCTTTTGAAAGTGTGTATAACAAGAAATGCGGCCGCTTTTCTTTTGTGGATGGCCGCTCAATTTCCCGATCCGTGATGGAGTATTTGATCATATTCCATACCACCTGGGGACCCCAGTCTTTACTGTTTATAAGCATGCAGATATGGCGGAGTGACAGGCCGAGCGCCGCCCAGTTGATATAATTCCATATTTAATTTGAAAATCGTGTATATTTCTATGTAACCATATGTTTATTGTTTATGCAACCTGACACGGATCTGTGCAAAATAGTAATACTAAGTCAAAATAATAATACTATGCTATCAATTAGTCTCTAGCGGGATGCGTACATGGTGAAATTAACAATGTACTTGAACATTTCAGCACCGCGCGCCAACAATTGTTTAATTCAGATTTTCGCGCAAAATAACTTTGCGCAGGCAGACACGTGGGCGACACGTACGCAGGCAGGCACGCAGGCACGCAGGCACGTACGGTCGCAAGGCTACCATATCCCAAAAAAACCTCGATCGCTAACCCTTGTCCTTGACTCTTTGTGCCTTCGGCACTTTGAGTCATGGATCGGGAAAAAATGATATTCAATGAGCTAGCTTAATAGTCAATGATCAAGAAAATGGATCATTGTTACATAATAAATTTAGTAAATTAGTTTGGTCAATGGTCATGTTAATTATGATTTTCACACTTAATTATTTGCTTGCCAAGAACTTCTGGCTTAATGCTTATCATTGTTTTGTGAATAGAGTGAGACTTCTGAATGTCTTACCATGTTGGTGTCCTTTGTTTTTGGGGTATCTGGGACTCAGGTTCTTGTCATAAGGGTCGTCGTCCATAAATGTCAGCATTACCAGGTCATTTTAACTTTTGATGAATGAAGTTATTTAGACAAACAAATAGAAAACAGGTTTATTAAGGCCAGAGGGGGGGGGGGGGGGGTAAAAATCGTTTTCCAGTTTTCACATATTTGATCTGAGCTGCTGGAGACAAACAAGAACCGGACCGAAATCTGACCTTGTGTTTTGAGATATAGCGCGCCAAATATTGAGGTTTAACTGTAATTACATGTAAAACTTTAACTTTAACTCAAAAAAGGTAAACCTCCTTTTCGGGAAAAGACTGACCACAGCCAGGGAAAAAACATGTGTTTTTTGGGGTGTTTTGCCTTTGTTCTTGAAATATGAGGTTGAATTTACCCCAAATTCGATTTTTCGAAGAAAGTTAACTTCACATTTCAAAAATGAAGGCACAATTCTAAATTCTAAAACATAACGTTTTGTGCAACAACCCAAGGAACACCTGTGCCAAATTAATAAACGTATTATTATTCTCACAAAAAACAAATGTTAGTGCCAGTAGGAGGATTGATTCCCAGAGAAAGCAGCACCTAGGAGTTTATAATCGGATTTGATGGCATACGTTCTGTTTGAGATTAGGTTGGGTCGTTGGAAAAATTAAATATTTAGCAATTTGTAAATTATCAAAAACACTTGATAATTGTATTATTTGTTATAACATATTAGTTAACACTTATTATGATTGTCAAATTACATTATGTCGGCCGGACAGTGTTGTGGTTAACACAAAGTTTGCTTCCCAGTGTGACCATGGTGCAAATGGTAGAGGCTCTCATTAGAGCTTCAAAAATTACAAAAGTTTATATGGATTTGGGGTTGCAGCCACCTATACTACAGTGAAAGCTGTAACATAAGTGTTGTAATATGTTAATATTACTAATTATTATTTTATCCCTTTTAGGTTTTAGAGCTTAGTCCTAAGTACTGGTTTCACTTCTACTACCCGCAATCCCCAAATCCCAACATGGTGTCAGGACTTCAAGAGGTGATTCAACCATACACGCATCAAAACACGGAAATAGACATTTGGATGAATGATTTCCAGAATGCGGTACTCGCACTATATGGAGACGATGTGTCAGATGCGCGAAGAAAAGCCTGTTTAGCAACATTTATTGGTGATGAAGGAAAAACAGTAATAAACAATCTATCAGAAAATCAGAAAGACAGTTTTGATCATATAAAGGAATCCCTCATAGCACATTTTCAAGCATCGGTTAATGTTACAGTTGAACGACACAAGTTCAACAGCATGAATCAGGATGCTGGAGAACTGATAGACCTGTATGTTACCAAGTTGAGAACGCAAGCCGCTAAATGTAAGTTTGTCGTGAACCACAGACACACATACATGAACGATGCTGATCCCCCTGAAGAACAAGTCCTGGAGGCAGAAACAGACATTTCAGATCAGTTCATCAGAGACCGTTTAGTTTGCGGCATTCATGACCAAAACACTAGAGCAAAGCTTCTTCGCGAGAGAAACTTGACATTAGATTCTGCAATTAGGAGCATCAAGGCTGTTGAAACAGCCAACAACCATGTGAAAAAACTCTTCAATCAAAAGAGTGCATTGTCTATAGACAAGGTGAACAGAAAATATAATAACAAAAACTTTCACCAATCTTCAAAATCAAAACCTCAATCGAAATGTTATAGTAGCAATGAGAGTGTTAAAACTCACAAAACAGGTGAGTGTGGACGATGTGGTGGACCAAATCACAGCAGATCACAGTGTCCAGCTTCCAAAGCTGCCTGTCATGTGTGCAAACTTGTAGGACATTATGGAAAGAAATGTCGGACCAAGAAAGTACACGAATTTCAACAAGAGAGCGCCACAAGCTTCAGCGACCACTCCAACAGTGATTCTATGTTTATGGGACTGTTGATCAGCACAACCACAACATCAGTATCTAGTGATAATCAATGTGATTGTAAGTGCGAGTGTAAACACCGCAAAGAGATTGATATTGACTGTGTAGATTGGGTTGAAAATGCCGAGTTAGAAGATGTTCAAGTGCAGTTTAAAATTGACACCGGAGCACAAGCAAATGTTTTGCCGCTTTCACTGTATACAAAATGTTTTAGGAGTGACAGTTATTTGTCTGGTTCCACTGTTAAGTTGACTGGTTACGGGGGTGCAAATATTCCTGTTTCCGGTGAGGTAAATTTAGATTGCAAGATAAAGAATAATAATGTTAATTCCAAGTTTATTGTTGTTCCACTGGAAGTAAAACCAGTGCTAGGTTTACACACTAGTTATCAACTTGGTTTAGTTAACCCAAATACATCAGTTTCAGCTGTGAGTGAGAGTAGAGAGAAGCACAGTGGTAGCACGAGTGAAGAGATTAAGGTTTCAGGAACTCACAACAGATTCAAGAGATGTGAGATTGATAATCACAAGGATATAGATCATTCACTAAGCCACTCACAACACCACCAGGGTGGTGCAGAGAGCTCACTGAAGAGTGAGGAGCAGTGTGAGAAGATTCGGGTGAATAAGTGTCGGGTGCAAAGTGAGTCGAACAGAGAGCAGGTGAAGAGTAATGGGTTAAAACAGTACATTCCCAATCCATACCCCTCTGTTCAGGCGTGTGAGAGTTCAGACCGTGTAGTAGACCAAGTCACTAACACTTTCAGGTACGAGGAGCTGAGCAAAGAGTTTGCAGATGTCTTCAGCAACCAACAAGTTGGTTGTATCAGCCAGCCCTACGATATAAAACTAATAGAGAACTCCACTCCAGCAGTGCATGCACCTAGAAGAACGCCTTTCACACTAGCAGATAAAGTCAAGAATGAGCTGCATAGAATGGTGAAGCTCAAGGTGATAAAGAAGGTGGACGAAGCCACCGAGTGGGTGAATTCTATGACTGTAACCGAGAAACCTAACGGACAGATAAGGGTATGCTTAGACCCTACTGACCTAAACCGAGCTATTATCAGAGAACATTCGCCGCTGCCGTCAGATGAAGAGATTATGACGAGATTGGGTGGATCAGTGTTGTTCTCGAAGTTAGATGCTCGAGACGGATACTGGCAAGTCCCTCTAACAGAGAAAGCTAGTTATCTGACAACGTTTAATACGTTGATTGGAAGATTCCGCTACCTCCGACTTCCATTTGGATTAAAATCATCCAATGAAGTCTTTCAGAAACGAATGTCGCAAGTCTACGAGAGACTTGAAGGTGTAGAGGTAGTATTTGACGATATCTTAGTACATGGTGCTACGAGAGAAGAACATGATAGCCGTTTAAAGGCTGCACTACAAAGGTCACGTGAAGCCGGAGTAAAGCTCAATGACACCAAGTGCAAATTTGGACTACAGGAAGTCACATATTTGGGTCGTGTAATCAGTGTTGACGGAGTAAAACCAGATCCAGAAAAGATTAAGGATATTCTAGATATGCCCAATCCTACCGATAAAACAGGAGTTCACAGGATCCTGGGTATGATCAATTTCCTTGCGAAGTTTATTCCCAACATGAGCACGCTCACGACACCACTGAGAGCCCTGTTAGTCAAAGATACAGAATTTATTTGGACACACGAACAGAACAAGGCACTAGACAACATCAAGAAGATACTCACCAGTGAGCCTGTTCTAGGATTCTATGATCCAAAGAAAGAAGTGACTCTACTATGTGATGCGAGTCAGTATGGTTTGGGTACATGCCTGATGCAAGATGGCAAGCCAGTAGCTTATGCTTCGAGAAGTCTCACACCAGTACAAGTACAAGTACGATACGTCCAAATAGAGAAGGAATTACTATCGATTGTATTTGGTTGTGAAAGATTTCACCAGTATGTGTACGGAAAACAGATACAGGTACACACTGATCACAAGCCCTTGCTGAGTATAGTCAACAAACAAACCATAGCTGAAGCACCGCCAAGGATACAAAGACTGCTGCTACGACTCTTGCCTGCCAAGTCTTATTTCAGTCAGCGAGATAATTTGTTTGTCGTCGACGATATCCTGCTTTTTGGTACCAGGATCATAATTCCGCGAAAGTTACGTCCCGAGCTCTTAGAGAGGATACATGTTGGTCATCAAGGCCAATCTAGGTGTAAGAGCTTGGCACGTAAAAGTGTGTATTGGTTACACATGAACCAAGACATTGATGAGATGGTACGCAAGTGTGAACCTTGTTTGATGAAGCGCAGCTTCCCCAAAAAGGAACCTCTGCGACCAGACAGTGTCCCTGAACGGGCTTGGCAGAGAATATCGGTAGACAAGTTCAGTGCTAAAGGTAGAGAGTACCAGCTTAGTACAGATTATTTTTCGAAATATGTGGAAGTTGAAATGTTGCCAGTAAACCCTACTTCTTATCATTGTATTCAACAACTGAAACGAGTTGTGTCGAGATTTGGTTTACCAGAAAAGCTAAGATCTGATGGCGATCCTTTATATACCAGTAAAGAGTTTAAAGATTTCTTAAAAAAGTATGATATTACACATACGTTGTCCTCAGCTGGTTATGCTCAATCTAATGGTTTTATTGAAAGACATGTAGCTACGATAAAGAACACGATTTTGAAATCTGATGATATTCATTTAGCTTTGTTAAATTATCGTAACACTCCGATATCTAACGAGTTGCCGAGTCCCGCAAAAATATTATTTAACAGAGAGTTGCGCACGAAATTGCCAACATGTTCAAGTTTATTGATTACTGAAAATGATAAAAGATACAGACGTGTCTTAGAGAAACGTGTAATTGATATGGAACAGCATTACAACCAGCATACCGTTCCGAGAGATGATTTTGTTCCAGGACAGTTAGTCTGTTATAGAGACAACCTATCTGACAAGATTTGGAAGCCAGGTAAAATCCTAGCACCAAGATCTGATGCTAACGGTAGATCATATGTACTGCTTTCGCAAGCTGGAAACCAGATACTGAGAAACAAGAGATTATTGACTACAGACTATACCCGTCGTCAACTCACTGTTATCCCAGATCAGGATTACCACATACCAACAGCAAATACAGATCCCGTTGTACCGGATAGTTCTGTTAATGTACCAGCTACTGCACCTGCCCCGTCTGGTGTTTTGACAGGTGGTAGTGCTGCAGGAGCCTCCGTGACCACTGCAGCAGATCCCGTTTCCCCTGCTCAAGCGCCTGCTGGAGTGCTGCCCCAGCCTCCTGGGCTGCGTAGATCAGCGAGAGTCCGTCAGCACACCTCCAAGTGCCGGTTGTCATGCTGCCGATAATTAAAATGATGTTGTACTTACGGTATAATCCAAATTGTTTAACCACACATACAGTGATGATAAGTTATTTTGTACTACTTGCGGTGTATATATATAAACCGAATTGTTTGACCAGTAAAATTTAGTAAAGATTATTATAGACGGAACGTAAATGTATTTTATGTATTTTATGTTATTTCATAGAGGAAAGAGGATAGTACAGAGCTTGATATGACCTCGTGTTAACAGTTTGTTTTGTAACGCGCGGAAGCGTTTTTATTTTAGATCTACTCACAGTGTCAGCATTTCAGTTTTTATTTTATTTTGAATAAAGCCGCGCAACCTCGTGATATCTAACGAGTTTTTATAAAGAGGGAGATGTTGTAATATGTTAATATTACTAATTATTATTTTATCCCTTTTAGGTTTTAGAGCTTAGTCCTAAGTACTGGTTTCACTTCTACTACCCGCAATCCCCAAATCCCAACAATAAGGGCCGTCATTATTATTATTAAATTGCATTATTTTTAATCTAGTCTAATTATGATATGAAAGACAGATAGCTTAACAAGCAGAAAATTTGTATGGAGTATCTTATTCATGAGAAAGAAGTGTGATGGTTTTTCAGTTGTAATTAATGTCACAATTGTGACTCAAAAGGAGAGATCAGTAGTAAGAACTAACGTTTGCAAATTTGTATAACATTTACTGCTCTAAAATGAAATTTCCCAGTCAATACAAAAATCGTTTGGCATTTCACTGCAGTAAAAAGGGCTTCAGACTTGCAACAGCTCTTCGTTCTACTTTCAGAATACTAATTAGACCCAAAGGCCATGGCGAAATTTCCTACTGGCCAATAAATGTGTCTTTCAGTTTAATACAAGGCACTCTGAGTTAATGCAACATTTTAAATGCTTATTATTTTATTACTTATTTCATATCAAAAATAGAAACCAATAAATATGATATAATCTATACAATCTAGGTAAACTATAGGTAAAAATATAATATTAATCATAAGCTAAAATGTACTAATCTTTGTATTCTAAATGGGGAAAAGAAGAAACATTGTCAGTCAGTCGAGAAAATTGTCAGTCAGGCTATATGGCAGCTTTGTAGATGTTGTGACAATGCTTGTTTACACCCCCCGCGCGTGAGGGCACGTTTTTGCTAGTAATTTGCGACATTACTTTATGGATATCGAATCTCGCGACTTCAACGAAGTGCTGGGGACAAGTTTTCAATAATTCATATCACTTTTCAGTTCCTATCGTTTTAAGCATCGTTAGGGCTTTCCCAGAAACTAACTCTCATCATCCTAGGATAATCATGTGTCGCACAGCACTTGTTTCAGTAGAGAGTGTACTCGCCTTTACGAGAGAATGACGTGTACGTTTCGGTCACCTGCGGAAAAAGGAAGTGAGATATCGAAAATCTGAGATAAACCCGATCGATAAAATCCTTTCAGGTAGGTGCTAGTCAAGGTTTCATCTCTTTAGACATTAAGATGGCTTCAAACACCTCACAAAAAGTTTTCAAAAGTAAAATTGACTCGCGACCTACAAATACCACCATAAAACTTGCCCTCATATATTTTTGAGGGCAAGTTTTTGAGCGCGCCGCGTGACTTTGTCTCAGCAACAGCAAGACATAGTTACAATCTCGCAACTATGAACAGACAAGGAAAATATTGTATTAATATCTGTCAAAGGAATTTAATGTATTTTAACAACTTGTTCTAATAATGCTAATAACTAATCGATGAACCTCATAAATGGTCGGCCCGGTGTGAGTGTATAGTATGGATTGTGCTCTGAAATGGGGCGCTGTTATTGGTTAATACAGCGGCCAATCAGGATCGAGCTGGTTTGTGGCTGCAGTCCAAATTTAGGATCATATCTGATTAGGTACCTAATTAGTGATTATGCACTTTAAAGTAAGATTAACTCGGTATTCACAATCCACATTAAATCGCTACATTTTGCAAATCAGCTGATATTTGTAACTTTAAAAAATAGTTGTAACTTATATATTTATACAGGTCCCCGGTTTAACAAGCATTCAGGATAGAAGAACCAGCAGCGGTTAATGACACTAAAACAGAGGTGGAGAATTACAGTAAGAACAGCAGAAAGAGTGGAGTGAGATAAATATCTTTTCTTTTTCTGCACTGGTTACTGATGCTTACTTACTTGGGTTACTTGGGTTGGGTTCCGAGCTGGAGTGCTACCAGGCCAAGAATGTCTTGCATCTCCACCGCCAACAGTTATTCAAGAAAATTCTGGCCTGGGTTATGTTTTAAAATTAGATATAGCCAGGCCCATGTCAGTTTTGTTTATGTTCTATTTATCATGAAAAATGATTGTGCTCGGAGTGATCTGGGCAAAAAATTAATTCCAACTCCACGGGGAATCGAACGTGCGACCGCCCTGTGAGGCACTCGACGCTCTAGCCGTCACGCCACACGGGATATACGCTAATTAAAATTGTGATGTCTATATAGTGCTTATTTGGCAGAAATTAGTACCGCATACAATCCTCAATTTTGAGTTTGTTATGATTGTAATTGGGAAGTGGGAACATAAAACAACTCTTCTGCATTTTATTGGAACTGTCTGTACAGTGTACACGATAAAATACATTGGGTAATTACAAAGATTGTGTACAGTGCATTCGGGGGCTTTGCTTTTGACTGATTTATTTTCCGGACAGTTCTTGGAAGTTCAATTAAAACCAGTGCAGTAGAAGAGTAAACTTGCATGAGAGTTAAAATGGTACTATTATAATTTGTGTTGTCAGGTAAGATTTCAGTTTTCACTTTGATACATTGGTATGTGATTTATATGCTGATTACAGATTACCGATAAAGATTGTTACATGTACAATTCAGAAAAATGTGTACATCATATGAGAGTCTAACTGTCTTCTCATTTCACCTCTTAACTGACAAGTGACATATCAGAAACATGAGTCGTCTTATAATGATACAAACACTATATTATAATAATATGGTTTTCACGTTAAGTAGTCAGCTTGACCTTGATTGGTTGCAGACAATTGTTAATGTGGATTGTGAATACCGAGTTAATCTTACTTTAAAGTGCATAATCACTAATTAGGTACCTAATCAGATATGATCCTAAATTTGGACTGCAGCCACAAACCAGCTCGATCCTGATTGGCCGATGTATTAACCAATAACAGCGCCCCATTTCAGAGCACAATCCATACTATACACTCACACCGGGCCGACCATTTATGAGGTTCATCGATTAGTTATTAGCATTATTAGAACAAGTTGTTAAAATACATTAAATTCCTTTGACAGATATTAATACAATATTTTCCTTGTCTGTTCATAGTTGCGAGATTGTAACTATGTCTTGCTGTTGCTGAGACAAAGTCACGCGGCGCGCTCAAAAACTTGCCCTCAAAAATATATGAGGGCAAGTTTTATGGTGGTATTTGTAGGTCGCGAGTCAATTTTACTTTTGAAAACTTTTTGTGAGGTGTTTGAAGCCATCTTAATGTCTAAAGAGATGAAACCTTGACTAGCACCTACCTGAAAGGATTTTATCGATCGGGTTTATCTCAGATTTTCGATATCTCACTTCCTTTTTCCGCAGGTGACCGAAACGTACACGTCATTCTCTCGTAAAGGCGAGTACACTCTTTACTGAAACAAGTGCTGTGCGACACATGATTATCCTAGGATGATGAGAGTTAGTTTCTGGGAAAGCCCTAACGATGCTTAAAACGATAGGAACTGAAAAGTTTATGAATTATTGAAAACTTGTCCCCAGCACTTCGTTGAAGTCGCGAGATTCGATATCCATAAAGTAATGTCGCAAATTACTAGCAAAAACGTGCCCTCACGCGCGGGGGGTGTTTAGTGGTCCCTATACAATTACAAGTAAACAAATAATCAAAGTTTTAGCACATTTTACAGCATAAAATTTAAACAAATGAAAACATATAATGCTCTTAGTGGTAAATGGCCGTTTGTTCTGAGCTGTATGATTTTTTGACAATCAACTAGCGGGGCAAGGAATGTACTGGCTGGTAGCTTTTGTACACACCAAAACGCTAGTCTGGTTGATTAATGACCAAATTAGAGGCGTTGATAGGAAGGCATTATAATTTGTGGGTGTAAGAGGGAATATTTGGCATGCATTATTCTAGCAGCTATTTTGTAACAAATGGTCTTTACGATTATTAAGGACGGTAGGTATTTTGGGTGTTCAATGGGGGCCGGGGGTTTAAATTTAAGGGAGAAAAAGAAATGAATATTGGGTTATAATCAGTGGCGTAACGAAAGGCCCTGCTGACCCCGCTGTGCAGGGGGGCGCCGTCTTAGGGGGCGCCAAATCGTCGTTTGAATGTGGGACAATTTCGAAAACTTAACTAAAGTACTAGCAAAACTGCGTGTTTTGCTCTAGATACACACTTTTTTAGAGATTTTACCGGCGTATTCTTTAAAATCACCTAATTTGTTCAATTTTAGGGAGGGGCTCCAAAAGGGGAGAGGGCGCCAACAGGGGGGCGCCTTTTCGGCAGGGGGCGCCAACAGGCAACGTTACGCCACTGGTTATAATATTAATCATAGATGTCAACCCTGATATAACTATTGTACTAAAAATTTGATCATAATGCTTAGGGTCTTTATTAGAATTCAAATTGGATATAAAAAACATGTGAGTATCAAACAATACCAAATACCACCGAGAAATTTCGTCAATTATATAAATTTATCAAGGCATAGAAAGAATGCTAATCACACATCACAACAAATGTTATACAATACTTTTAACAGACCAAGGTATTAACACATAATCATTTAATTAAAACTATTCTTAATTCAAACTTTTCTTTATTACAATTACTCTTCTTCTAAAGTAAAGTAAAGTAAAGTAAAAAAACAAATATGAAATAATTGTAAATAAATAAATTTGTTGATTCACGATGTCAATCCTTCCCAGCTCGGCAAGGCCCAGTGGTGCATCTCGCCGATCTACGGAAGG